GCCTTCACTTTAGCATTGCCCATAACAGCAGATGCAGAGGACAGGTCCCCAAAGGCATCAAAGAACCTCTGGGTCCATGGGTAGACAACCAGCAGCCTGAGGGAGTGAAAAGAGCAAGGTCATGGAGAAAGTCAGTGCCTGTCAGAGATGTCTGTCTCCACATGCTCAGCTTCCATCCCCCTCCTCACCCCAAGCTGCCTCATGACATGGATACTCACCTGCCCAGAGACTCAGCACCAACTTCTGCTGCATTCACCTTGCCCCAGGCAGTGCTAATGGCATTCTTCTCCCCATCACTCAGATGCACCATTGTGTCTTTTTGGAGGGTTGCTAGCAAACACAAGTGTGTCAGAAGCAAGTATAAGCAGCAGCTGGCCCTGCTCTGTCCTTTATGTCCAGCCTTGACTCCTGCATTCCCTGCCCTAATGAGCTCATTGGCCAAGACTAGGGTGTGGCCCTACAGGGTGAGATTTGCATGATGACAGCCATAACAGTCCTTGGCAGCTCTGGCACTGCCTTGGAGTCTAACTTCAGGCTCTCAGTCCTCCTTCTTCATATCTACTGGTCCCATGCCAGCAGTTCAAGTTGGCCCTAAAATCAGCCTCCTGGGCAACTTTACTTCTATGAATTTTGGAATAACTATCTGGTAGGTCTATTGGAAATTATTTCCCTAATTATCTTATTATGTAAATTTGGAAAGGAGGCACAAATTATAGAAGAAATGTGCCTGTTGTGTTTTAGCAAGAGTGTATGGAGTGATCTCCTCCTGTTTCTCCAGAATATATAAAATAATCCACAGACAGAATGGATAAAGGCTCTCTCATGATTCTAAGTATGTCTTCTTTCTCCTGATTTGGATTTCATCCTCCTCCTAAGAAAATAAATATTCATTAATTCTTTCAGTCATTCAATTTTTGATGTTTTTGTGTGTGTTTGTTTAGTTTGTTCATCTAATCAAATAATATTTGAAAATCAGAATAAATCTGAGTCCAATTATGTTTGTGCAATACTTACTTTATTATGTTTTGTTGACCAAGACATGGAAACATTGAGACCCTTTAATACAGTAAAAGTTAAAATTAGCTTAAAGCCATTTACAACACAAAGTTTTATGTGTTGAATTAGCAGAAGCTATAGGGGACATAGTCAGCACCTCATTAAGAAATTCATCCTACCAATGAGAGTGTAAGCTACCTAAGAAATTAAAGTCACGAATAATTAGTGAAGAACAAAAGACAGTCAGAAAGACAGTTTCAAAAAGGTGGAGCCCCTTTAAGTTGATTTTTGCACACATAAAAGATAATTTAAGTTCATTTGGATGGTTTCATACTGTAATATGTATAACCTGATACAAATTCTTCCACAATTAGTTATCACTTATTATATGCATTACTTTCTGCTTGGCAGCTAGATTCAGAATTGAGGTGGAGAAGAGGACAAGGACCACTTAAAACTTATCCTTCTAGAATGTACTATATACTGAAGTGCATACTAAATAAGGAAATGAAGCTAGAATGTGTTGCTCATGGCAACACTGATAAATACAGAAGCAGAAAAAGCATTACAGGAAGGTTAAGAGAGAAATCAGATCTCTAATAACTTCTCATATGTCAAAGATAAACAACTTGAGGAAAAACGGGAATTCTATTTGGCATGGGCTCAAATAAAGATTGTAAGATAACAATAAATATCAAGTCATAAAAAGCCCCCTGAGCCCAGCAGTCATCACAACTATTGACAGCCTAGTCCTTCCAATGCAGACTGTGGAAGAGCGAAGGCACCAGGGAGACCAGCATTGCAGATTTTTGGTCACTGTTAATGGTAGAGGAAGGGAACAAGTTCACAAATACACAGTGGCCAAACCACCTCCTTCTCTTTACCCTTCCCCAGACAGATCTCTTTGAGACAATAGAGGTAACTAAGGATTAACCAGATCAGGGGAAAGGAGCAATGTTTCCATTACAACATGGAAGGAAAACCTTGGGGAGTAGTGGAATCTATAAGCAAGAGAACTTGGTGGACTAAGGCTGTGAGGTTCTGGGGAAGGAACTGAAGAAAGAAGAGACACTTATGAGGAAGGCTGAAGATAATAGTTAATTTTAAAAAAAGTAGCAAAAACCTAACCCCTGAACCAAAGTTTCACTTAAATCCTTTTATGAGTTGTAAGGAATAGAAAGCAGAAAGCTTCCCACATACATTCATTCTTAACAGTCTTCCTTCTTTCATAGAGTCCAAGATACAGGTGTATTAGAACAAGCTCTGAACTAAGCCCTTTATGTCTTAAATGCCTTGTCTTTCCACTATCCCTCATGAATGAAAGACACAAACATATCATATACCATTGCAACAAAAAGTGATTTTATTAGGCAGAAGGCAGATGCTCAAAGGCCTTCATAAGTTCCCCAATATTTAGTAGTTGTTCTCTGGGGCAAAAGGCCTTTTTTATGAGATGGACAGCAGGAAAGGTAGCTTAGTGGTATTTGTGAGTCATGGCATTGGCCACACCAGTCACTACTTTCTGAAAAGCAGCCTGAACCTGCGGGGTGAATTCCTTGCCCAGTGATGGGCCATCACAACCACAATCACATTGCCTAGGAGCTGTGGGAAAAAAGAGGTGTAAATATGGTTAACAGAGAGTCTGAGCTGGGACAGAGAATATTCCCATCTCATCTCCAGCTGTGCTTATTGTTGTAATAGCAAACTAAAAGCAGAATGATAGATGAATTTAGCTGCTGCTAATAAGAATTCTTCTGTGTCTGTCAGAATTTATATGCATAAGTTTTCTTTTCTATCTCCTTAATCCAGGAAATAAATTTTCACTGTTATTTTTTAACACTGTACAAAGAAGCATGACAATTTTATCTTCCTTGCCTTGAAAGAGAGATCAGAGACAATTTTAAAGAAGACAAAATCTTAAATGTAAGTTAAAAGATGAATGATTTTAAATTTACAAATATAATACAAAAAATTTAATGAAAGAAGACAGCACAGAAATTGTAGAAAAGAAAACTGGAAAATGAAAATGAAATGAGAGGAAACAATTGTTGTCAGTAGAGAATGAAAGATCAACTGTCTCTAACACCTATGCCTTTGCCTCCTGCTATGAACTTATCCTTAGGGAGGAAAAGGAAGGATCACATTGAGGGGATGTCCTAGACTCACCTTGAAGTTCTCAGGATCCACATGCAGCTTGTCACAGTGCAGCTCACTGAGACTTGCAAAGGTGCCCTTGTGGTTGTCGAGGTGTTTCAGGCCATTACTAAAGGAATCAATCACCTTCTTGCCATGCGCCTTCACTTTAGCATTGCCCATAACAGCAGATGCAGAGGACAGGTCCCCAAAGGCATCAAAGAACCTCTGGGTCCATGGGTAGACCACCAGTAGCCTGAAGGGGTGAAAAGAACCAGGTCATGGAGAAAGTCAGTGCCTGTCAGAGATGTCTGTCTCCATAGGCTCAGCTTCCATCCCCCACCCCACCACCCCTACTAATAAGCTGCCTTATGACATGGATACCTACCTGCCCAGGGCCTCACCACCAACTTCATCTACATTCATCTTGCCCCACAGGACATCAATGGCAGGCTTCCCATTTTAAGTCAGATGTACTATAATGATGTTGAGATACGTTCCTGTTATCGCTAGTTTTTCTAGTGGTTTGAACATAATGGGTGCTGTAGTTGGTTGAATGCTTTTTCTAAATCTATTGTGATGATCATGTGATTCTTATTTTAAGTCTACTGATGTGATGAATTACATTTATTGATTTCCATATGTTGAATTGCATCCCTGGGTTAACCCCACTTGATTGTGATACACTGTCCTTTTTGATATGTTTTTGTATTCAATCTGCCAGAATTTTACTGAGAATTTTTGCATCTATGTTCATTAGAGATATTGTTCTGAAGTTTTCTTTCTTTCATGTGTCTTTGCCTGATTTGAGAATCAAATTTTTTTTTTCAATTTCATTGATTTAAGCTCTGATTTTAATTATGACCTGTCTTCTACTGCTTTGGGTGTTGGTTTGTTCTTCTTTTTCTAGGGCTATAAGATGTCATGTTAGATAATTTATTTGTTGACTTTTTATTATTTTAAAGAATAAACTCCATGCAATAAACTTTCATCTTAGTACTGCTGCCATAGCATCCCAGAGATTTCAATATGTTTCATCAGTGTTCTTATTTATCTCTAAGAATTCTTAAATCTCCTCCTTGAAGCCTTTGCAACTCATTGTTTAATCAGTAGCATACAGTTTAGTCTCCAGGTGTTGGAGTCACTTTTATTTTTATTTTATCATTGACTTCTAATTTCATTCTATTGTGGTGTGATAGAATGCAAGGTAGTATCTCTACTTTTTTGTATTTTCTAAGAGTTGCTTTGTGGCATAATATATGGTCTATTTTAGAGAAGGGTCCATGTACTGCTGAGAAGAAAGTGTATTTTCACTTGTTGAAGGATGAAATATTCTATATGTGTCAGTTAAGTCCAAGTCATTGATTGTATTATTGAATTCTATACTTTTTTGTTTTGTTTACTCATCTTTCCACTTTCTATCATCTCTACCTCCTGGAATTTGTCCCTTGCTTACATTTCCATTTCATTTTAAAAAGGAGGAATGCTTTTTGATTTCTGTTATCATATTTCTACTTTATAGTCTTCTCCTGATTCTGAGAACCCAAAGTCTAGAAATTTCCTTATTTTTCCCTGGCAATGCATGGTTCACAGAGATAGCTCATCCTTTCAGCTCTACCACTTTGAAACCCAATTATGCTAATATTTTAGGTTACCCTGATAAAAAGGGGATTCTGTATTGGTTGTTATTCCAAGGAAATTAGTAAAATTTTCATTTTCTTTTTTCTTGGATAAGAGGTCTTTCAAATATTTTTAATAATAATAATAATAATAATAATAATAAAAGAGGATTTAGCTTCACCTTTATATTCTTGGGTTTTATTATATTAAAATCTGAATTAGTCTTATAACTGTTTTATATTCAAGTTGTTTTCAATATTCTTTTTCACACCTCTCCTGCCAGAGAACAGTCATGTAGATGGGGTAAAAAGATGTTCTAGAGAAATTCTGATGCATCCTTTGCAGGCATCCTGTCCCTAAAACCCACAGATCTTACTAAAAATAATATATAAAATTTTTATATTTTTCTGCAAAGAGCCAATTGTCAAAGCTACAGTTTTGAAATCTTGTTTGGCAGAATTTAGCACTTTTTTAAGATCCCGTTCTTTTCTGTGCTCTATAATCTTTCTCCTGTGTTGCTTTCTACTTCAATGACTGTCCTGTGGCAACTCTCTTCTACTTTCAACTGCTGTAGATTCTATCATCCAGGCCTCAGGGCAGGGTAGCTCTCTTGATAAGGCTGCTCACTGTGACTCATGTGGGATCAGAAATTTTCTTCAGTTGTCTCAGTTCTCTAGGGATAAGACTGAGTTATCATAAGACTATCAACAAACAGCTCAGGTACACAAAGCCAAATTAAGTTATGAAAAAGGATGAGTATCAATAAATGTGGTTCTATGCTATATATAACTTGTCCTCATATCTCATCAAATCTGGATCATTCCAGAATTCAGTGCCTTGAGCTCACTTACCCCTTCATACCTGTGATCTCACTCCCATCCTGTGAAAGTTCTGCAGCATGTCTGCACCCCTAACCACCCAACTCACACAGAGGCACAGGCAAATACTACAAGCCCTAATATATATATATATATATATATATATATATATATATATAT